GCACATGGTTCCGGCTGAGTTTATTACAGTCGGCAGACACGTCCAATTTATACTGTTGACGAGCAGTTACAGATAGCAGCAGATATACATGCGTTTGATCATGATGATGCAATTATTATTATTGTTTTATTCAGTAGGAGTTTCTGCAGAGTACAGTGATTTTAGTACTCACGCTCCCACTATTATGATCCTTTTTCAGGTGACAGGGTCGGTCCGGAGGAGTGAGCGGAACTGGTGGTCGCCGGTGCAGTATATATGTAATTATGCTTTTGCAGACTTATTATATGTATATTATTTGCCACGTTTTTACTTCCGCTGACATTTTCAGACTTTGAAACTAGCGTGCAAATTTTTAGACTACGATCCGAGCCTTCTGGTCAAATTTTATTACAGTATCACACGCTTGTTTTATAAAAGACAATCCGTTTTTCTTTTGAACTCTATTCAAATATTTTGTTCTTATTCCATGTTTAGCACTTGATCAATGCTTTTGCATGTTTGACAATATTGTTCATAATTCGAGAGATGAGTTCAATATTAGGTTTTAATATTTGACACAATATACTTACTTGAATTGAGAGATTAGTAGGTAATTGTGAGAATTTTAGATCTTTTAATCAATTTGGAGTTGAATTGCATGTGTTGAGTGGAGACACTAATATATGTGATTTAATCTACGATTTTATTGATCTCGAGAGGGAAGATAAGCTAAATTTGTGATCGTCTTTTAGGATAGATAAAGAAAACATTTAGTTGTGATATTTTTGAAGGAACCCAACTGTTAATTGAACCCACTGTCTTAGAATCTATCGTTCCCATAAATTTTCTCACGTGTTTTTGCTAGTTCTTTATTTTTACTTTATGTCATTTGATTATAATCTCTAAATTAGTTAATCTATCTCATTTTCGATCATCTAAATAAAGTTGACATTATCATATTCTAGTACATGATATATTAATTATTTGATATATTGGGATACGACTTTGCTTGCCACATACTAGAGCGAAGCCGTACACTTACAGTCGAGCTTTAAAAAGATAGGCGAACAGTCACCTGCGACCGAAGTGTGAAGAAACCGCACTGAGTATTTTCCCCTTTCTGTTAGGCTTTTATTGATCGATTTGTGATCTTTCTGCTAGATTTTGTTTCTAATTTTGCTCTCTGTTTCTTTTTTCTTTTTTTTTTTTCGCTTTCTTTGAAAACTAGTACAACAGTCGTGTATTACACGTGTGTTTGTTAAAACTTTTTTTAAAAAACAAAATAATGAGAAAAGGTGGTTGAAAAATTTAAATACTTTTTATACAAAATATATATTATTAATATATTTTAGTATGACACTTGTTACTTGTGCGATTTAAATTTTTTATATTATAATAATTTTTCTAACTTATAACATATAACTACATAAAAACATTTATATATTAATTGAGAAATTTTCAAATTAATTTAATAGATAAATTTAATATTATACATAATTATTTATTTTATATATACAACATGGATGTCAAATCGAAGCTCATCAAAAGATGATTAATTTGATATATTATATATGTAAAACCGATAAGAAATACAAAAGCTATTAATTTTTAAAATACATCTACAATTCACTGGTTATAATAGGAAATGATATTTAAATATACTTAATATATCTAAAATGAATTTAAATAAATCAACATATTTATGGTAATCCGAACCTAATTATTTTTTATTGAAATTCAATTAAAATTCATCGAAGCCCAATAATGAAGCATGAAATTTTGACACCTAGGATCCCGAAGCATGCGAGACTGCCACTTAGACTATGTTTGGTAAAACTAGCTGATAAGCTACCTTGTAGCTTATCAGTAATTTTTTAACTTATAGCTTATGGCTTATGACTTATGTTGATAAGCTAGCTTATATGATTAAAGTATTTGGTAAAATTAGCTGATAAGCTAGCTAGATTCAACTAGTTTATTTGAAAAGCTACCTAAGGAAGCTTATCAAATAATCTCGAGCTTTTTAAAAAACTCCATCCTACCAAATGAGACTTATTTGAATACAGGTAGCTTATGAACTAACCAAATAAGCTAGCTTATTTGTCTATCATACATAGCCTTAGACTCAGCACATTCGAAAATTATATATAGGGAGATATGGATTCTGAAATTTTTGCCTCATGGTGAGAAATCGGGTCAGGTCCCGAAAAAGCAAACCAAGCATAACACTGTTTTTTTTCGTGGGTGAATGATCTATCGATTGACAGGGCCATGGAGATCATGGCACTGTCTGACAAGTTTGGCGCCTCTGCTCCGCCACAAAAGGCTCGCAGCACGACGAAACTCAGCGCCGGTGTTGGGAATATCATACCAGAGCGTCCCGTCTAGCAGCACATCGTCTGCCACCGAGTGCTTCGAGTCCTAACTCCTATGCCACCGGCGGACCAACATAACTTATTTGAACAAGAGATTTTGAGGGAAATGGCAACAGGTAATGTTTCTGGTTTCTGGTTTCTACTTTGTGCGCTTTTGAATTCTCCAGGTTTATATTACCAAACTCTTTCAGTTTTAGGTTGTCTGCAAGAACTCTCTATTGCAGCAGTTTATTCTAGTTTCTTGTGATCTTAATGTTGTTGCTAATTGAAAATATCAGGTACGAGGATGAAATCGCATAGTTTCAGATCCCTTAAAGCTCCGCCATAAACTGGAGCCTCTTCTGCTGGTATGGAATTTCCCTTCAATTTCGTCTTCGATATGAAATTTATTTTTTGCGGTCCAGTTTTTTTGCTCTTTCTCAGATGATGATTCAATTTAGTTTTGTTTATTTTTTTACATTTGTCACATATCTCTGAAATACTAGATTGCCATATCTCGGTTCGGCTTTTAGCCGTTGACTAATGCACTGACCCTTATCATACAGTCCGTCACTCCTACTGATGAGCCGACTGATGGGTACCGACGAGCGGGTAAGGTCCAAGCTGAGCAGCGTAAAGATTGAATGAGCCTTACTGACCAACGATGACACATGCACCGGCTATTTTGGGCGGCTTTTCGGTGATGGAAGATCAAGATTAAGACATAAAAGTAGATGTGAAACTGATGTGCTAAGATAATTTGGTGAAAACAACTAAATGCCCACTTTCCCGTTTTACATCGGCTTCACCAAATTATAGTTTCTTTATTTTCATTTTGTTGCATTATCTATATCTAAGCTTATAGTGAGAGTATTTCTATTGTTGACTTTGTTTCTTGTTCTTGTAGAAGGACATAGTGTCAATGCATTCAATCACCAACATGATTCTTGTTTTCTTTCAGGAACTATTGACTTGGGATAAATCAATCGTAGTTGAATTTATTTCCAAAAACTATGTCTGGGGTATTTTTTGCAGAGATGGACATTATACTCTCCTAAGTGCACTTTATTGTTATTTTCCGGTAATAAGTAAATGTGATTTTGGGTTTCCTCGACGAGTATTCTCCCTTATCCTGTTTACTCTTCCCATTGATCACCTCATGTGTACGTAATTTACTTGTTATCTTCTTGTTGATTGTTCTTTGAAAAGTATAACTCCAAGTTGCTCGAATATGCTAATTATATCACCAGAAGAAATGCTATCAAGGTGACTCATATTCGTTCTCTCTTTTTCGGAATTGGATGAGGACCACTCAGAGGCTTGACTAACTACATTCCTTTATAAAACAATATAGGAAAAGTTGCAAGAAATAATTTATAGTCAAGATAGGTGCAACTGAAAATTATAGATTTTATTTTCTTTCAGTTACTGGGTGATATTTTGCTCGACCGTGCAAATTAAGTCGTGATGACTACATATGTTTGCTCAAGGGATAACTTGAGGATCCTTATGAATCTTCTTCGGGTATGATTACATTCAAGGACTTTAGATTCAACCCCATTTCCTTGTTGCACTTTGCATGATGGATGGGAAATGTATTGAGAAAAAATTAAGCTTGGTGAGGGAATTATGGTCTTTATATTGTTTGTAAAAAAGGTATAGAACAATATCAATCTGTGCGGTTCTTGAGATATCTTATTCATTTGCCATGTTCTCTATCCGAGTAAAATGTCTTTATACTGTTTTCTCCCTTTTCTTTAGTAAAATGTCTCGTTCGTTACATAAAATCATTTAAGAACCTAAAATTTATGTTAGATTAAAGTATTTGATTGACTGGAAAAGGTGTATGTTTTAGAAATCCCCTTCTTGGGTTAATTTTAAGTCCTTAGTGTCAGAACAAAATAGAGTATCAGAGTTTTACAAGGAAAAGATATGACCAAATCAATCAAGATAATCAACAAGATATTCAAGATCCGATTTAGAAGTTATGATTTATTCTTTCCTTGTTTATCTCATTATGTACTCTATATATTTGTAGTCTCATTATGTACAAAAAAAATAAGAAAGACAGTTTTCTTCTCCCAAAAACATGTCGAATGTATTGTTTAACATGGTTCAGAGCAGGTTTCAATCCTAGGGCTCAGAAAAACAACATCATCATAGCCCGAACAAACATCCAAACTAAAACCTTTCTGTTCTTGTATCACAAGTTCACAAAACCTAAATCAAACCATACACGCAAATTTCAATTCCATCAAATACCTGGAAGGAAAAAATCGATATGTCAGACCAACCACCAGCAAACATAATTCTCGGAATCAAATTGGATGGGACAAATTATCCACTTTGGTCCCGATTGATGAAGGTGGCTATCGGAGGAAGAAGGAAGGCAAAACATATCACCAATAGCCCTCCATCATCAAAAAAGGAAGAGAAAGAATTTCAAACTTGGGAGGAAGATGATCTTATTGTTTTCTCATGGATCATACAGAACATGGAGACCCGATTGGTGCAAAGATTTGCACAACATCAGACCTCCAAGGCTTTGTGGGATAGTCTTGCAATCACATATGGGTCTGGCGCAGACCCTCTCCAAATTTATGACCTTGAAATTCAAGCGTCTAAAATGAGTCAAGAAGGCCAAACCTTGGAGAAATTCTGGAGCGAGTTGCACAACATATGGACTGAAATCGACCAAAGGGATCCAAATCCCCTAGAGTGCTGTGATAAGGGGATACTAACTTACTAGAAAATAATCTCCCAGAAAAGATTGTATCAATTCCTCGCAGGCCTTAACCCCCAACTGGATGGGATTCGACGAGATATGCTCAAAGAGAAGCCAAACCCCTCACCAGAAGTTGCCTTCGCCATCGTCAAACGAGAGGCCGCCCGACTACATATTATGCAGCCGATATCCAACTCCGGTGGTCTGGACCCAAGAATAGGAGTTGGACTTGGGGTGAAACATCCAAACCCTATGTCAGACCCAGCTCGGATGCAATCAAATTGTAACTCAGCCAATCGATTCGGGCAAAGTTCATCGTGCAACAAAATTGACAAGACCAAATTGGTCTGCTCACATTGCAGGATGAAAAAGCATACACGAGAGACTTGCTTCCAGTTGGTTGGCTACCCAGAATGGTGGGAAGAGGGGCACCGGACTGCAACCGCAAAGGGGAAGAGTGCGGTCGCTGTCGACGAATCCTAAGTAGAAGAACCTCAAGATCAAACCCATATCGGGTTTGGAGGGGCGACAACAAAAATAACCGGAGGGGGAAATCAGACAGAACATTGCAGTTCATATGAGGGGAAAAATGAATGGGCAGCGACGCAAATGAATTCAGGTATAGGGTTTGGTAAATTACCAAACCCTAACTTACATGTCAACTTACCACACTGCTCCTCATCTATGTCCAAAGGTCTTAAGACTTGTGAAAAATTGTCAAAAAAGAATAGTGCTTGGATTTTCGATTGTGGTGCGTCAGATACTATGACCTTTGACAAATCTGATTTTATAAAATTCTCTAAACCTAGAAGAACTCTTGTTCAGACTGCTAGTGGGGATCTAGCTACTGTAGTTGGGGGTGGGACTATTGAAATTTCTCAGTCCATTCGTTTGTCAAATTGTTTATATGTTCCCTCTTTGTCACACAAACTTTTGTCTATCAGCCACGTCACTCGAGAATTAAACTGCACCTTAATTCTACACCCGCATTTTTGTTTGTTATAGGATATCCGGACGGGGGAGATCATTGGGCGTGGCACTAAAAGGAATGGACTTTACTATGTGGACGAGATTGACTCCAAAGGTACTACACTACTTGCTCATGGTTCTTCCGAACGAGATATTTAGCTGTGGCATCAGAGATTGGGTCACCCTTCTACTAACTACCTTAAACTTCTCTTTCCAGCTTTAGTTAAACATCATAGTTTCCCTTGGGAGACGTGTATTTTGGCGAAAAGCCACAGACATTCTTTTCCTGCTAATAATACTAGAACCCTTTCCCTGTTTTCTCTTGTGCACTCTGATGTTTGGGGGCCTTCTCCTGTTTTTGGGGGCCTTAAATGTCGTTATTTTTTACTTTTTGTGGATGACTTTACACGAATGACATGGGTATATTTTCTCGACTCTAAATCACAAGTTTTTGAAACATTTACCCATTTTTTTACTATGATCCAAACACAATTCCACAAAAATATTCAAATTCTTAGATCGGATAATGGGGGGGAATTCGTCAATACCAATCTCAAAACTCTCTGTCTCAATAAGGGAATAATCCACCAGACTTCTTATCCTTATACACCCGAACAAAATGGGGTAGCTGAACGTAAAAACCGAATCATTCTCGAATGACCCGGGCTATGATGCTAGAATCTAAAGTCCCAGCTTCTTTTTTGCCCGAAGCAGTAGCTACCTCTGTTTACTTCATAAACTGACTCCCGACAAAAACTCTCAAATTCAAAACTCAACTAGATATTCTGTCTACTCAAGCAGCTGTTCCATCCTACCTATCTCTTCAGCCTCGGGTCTTTGGGTGTTCTGTTTTTGTCCATATTCCAAAACAAGAATGAAATAAATTATCCCCGTGTGCTTAAAAGTGTGTCTTTGTCAGGTATGGGATCCATCAAAAGGGATATCGGTGTTATAACCCAAAAACCAAACAAATTAGTACCACAATACACTGTAGTTTCCTTGAAACCGAGTACTTCTACTCCAACCATCTTAGCAGTCAGGGGGAGAGTTCTAATGACTTGCTAAGCTGGCTTCTTCTTCCAGCCCAAAACCAAAACCAAAGCCATCAAACACAAAACCAGAACCAAAACCAAGATCAGTCCCAGATTCCCTCTTATCACACAGTCGACGTCTCTTAAGAACTTGAGCTCAGAAAAGCAGAACCTGAGGATGAACAATCTCCAAACGTTGAAAGATCAGACTTTGGGCCCACGTCTAATGATGTTTCTTCTTCCGAGATATCTAATGTAAAAAACACTAGAGCTGAAGGGCATACAGAAACATATAGAGAGTCTAGGCGGATCCTTCCACCTAGACATAATCGAGGAGTTCCACCTCAACGGTATTCTCCAGACCGGACAGGGCAGTACAGATACTCTATTGGGCCTCTAGCGAAGCTGAGTTTGTCTGATGATGCTTCAAAATATCAGGATGCACTTTATTCTGATGTTATTCCTCATTCAGAGGAAGTGGCTCTTTGGAATCCTAACTGGAAAGGGGCTATTGACAAGGAGATGGGGGAGTTAGCTCGAAATAAGACATATGAGAAATGTCATCTACCAGCTGGCAAGAAGCCAATTGGATGCAGATGGGTCTTTACTATCAAACGGAAGCCAGATGGCTCAATTGACAGGTATAAAGCTCGGCTCGTGGCTAAAGGGTATGCTCAGACATATGAGATTTACTATGCAGATACTTTTTCACCCGTGGCGAAAATGAACACTGTTAGAGTCCTCTTATCTATTGCAGTTAATCAAGATTGGGATCTACTCCAATTTGATGTAACAAATGCCTTCTTACACGGAGAATTGAAGCGAGAAGTGTATATGCTGCCGCCTCTAGGGTTTGAATTCGAGTTTAAAGAAAATGAGGTATGCCGACTGAGGAAGACTTTATATGGGCTGAAGCAGTCACCAAGAGCATGGTTTGGGAGACTTACAGCAGCCATGAAAAATATGGCTACCAACAGAGTAATTCGGACCATACCCTGTTCATCAAACACCGAGGGAGTCTTATCACTTGTCTCATCATTTATGTTGACGACATGATCTTAACAGGGAATGATTCTGAGAAAATTATTCGACTGAAAGAAAATCTTTTCAAAGAATTTGAGATGAAAGACTTGGGAAGATTGAAGTATTTCTTGGGTATTGAGGTTCTGAGATCGAAGGTGGGAATCTTTATGAGCCAGAAGAAGTATGCACTGGATCTTCTGGCAGAGACGGGAATGATGGACTGCAAACCAGCACTTACTCCTATAGAACTGAATCATGGACTACAATTCACAGAAGGAGTAGAAGAGACAGATCGAGGGAGGTACCAACGGCTTGTAGGAAAACTAATCTACTTGTCACACACTCGTCCAGATATTGCCTATGCCGTGGGAGTGATCAGTTAGTTTATGCATCGGCCTCAGATCGAACACATGAAGGCAGCTTTGAGAGTTGTAAGATATCTGAAGGGGACGTTCGATTATGGAGTTTTCTTCAAAAAGGCCGAACATCTTGAGATCCTTACCTACACAGATGCAGACTGGGCGGGAAATCCAGTTGATCGGAGGTCTACAGCTAGGTACTTTGCATTAGTTGGAGGAAACCTTGTTTCGTGGAGGAGCAAGAAACAAAAGGTCGTGGCCTTATCCAGTGCTGAAGCAGAATTTAGAGGAATCAAGAGTGGAATTACTGAAGTGCTGTGGATACGAAAATTACTCATGGAGCTTTGGTTATTTTCTGGAAAGACGTGTAGATTGATGTGTGATAACAAAGCAGCAATCAGCATTTCACAGAATCTAGTCCAACATGATCGGACAAAACATGTGGAGGTTGATCGTCACTTTATTAAAGAAAAAATTGAACAGGAAATCACTGCTCTTCCTTTCGTCCCGTCGAAGTACCAGTTGGCCGACATACTCACAAAAGCCGTTGACTCAAGAAATTTTAATGAAGTACTGAGCAAGCTAAGTATCGGAAATCCCGTCACTTAACTTAGCTTGAGGGGGAGTGTTGGAACAGAATAGAGTATCAGAGTTTTACAAGGAAAGATATGACCAAATCAATCAAGATAATCAACAAGATATTCAAGATCCGATTTAGAAGTTTTGTGATTTATTCTTTCCTTGTTTATCTCATTATGTACTCTATATATTTGTAGTCTCATTATGTACAAAAAAAATAAAAAAATAAAAAAAATAAGAAAGACAGTTTTCTTCTCCCAAAAACATGTCGAATGTATTGTTTAACACTTAGTATGTACAATTCTTGTTCATTTTATGTTGTACTAATTTTTCTTTTTGTCGGATTCTAGGTTTGGAATCATGGGATTGGTGACAAATTACACAAGGGTGGGTGTAACAACAAATTTTATGAAAAACATAAAACTTTTGTACAACTTAAATATATTTCGATCAAACGATATGCGGGTACAATCTCTATTTATCTCCTCTGATTCTTCTCTTCATGGATTTGGGTTTGATATCTTGAAAGATGGATTTGATGGAGCTTTCAATGCGAATTGCCCCCAATGGACGGACTCATGGCTTGGGAAGACATCATCCTTCGTTGCCCCTTGTAAATTTTTTTCAAAGAAGTCTTCATGCATCTTCAAATATCTTCAAACTTGATTTGAAGAGAAGAGATGAGAGGTAGAAAATGTCCCACTGGGCGTGCCAAATTTGTAACAACAAATTTTATGAAAAACATAAAATTTCTGTACAACTTGAATATATTTCGATCAAACGATATGTGGGTACAATCTCTATTTATCTCCTCTGATTCTTCTCTTCAATGGATTTGGGTTTGAGATCTTGAAAGATGGATTTGGCGATTGAACCTCCTTCGGGCTTGCTCTTGAATTTCTCTAACATTAACTTGGGGGTCGAATGACTTATTCCCGTATTAAATGTTAGGCCTTGACTTGATTAAAAGACAACTTCTTGGAGAACTCGTTTCTTTGATCTTCTGGAAAGAGAGACTTTGACTTGAATAACGTTGACTCGAGGGCTTGATAGCTTTCTCTCGAATCAAATGCTATGTTGGTTGAACTTCTCAACGAACGGGGCTTGAATGTTGTTCGTTCCATTTTTTGTCGTATTTTCCTTGTTTATTTTGCATTTATTTTTCCCATTCTAGGTTATTTTCTTTGATTCTTGGTCCATATTGTGTCGTGTCTTGCTTCTTCTTTATTTTGTTCATTTTTGGTTTTTCTTGTTTCTTTTGCCCCGGTTTTCTGCGTTTTCTTGTTGATGGTGATGTGCAGGATAGGAAGTTCGATTGGGAAGTGACCACGCGGGGATAATTATCTAGACGGATGAGTTGGGGTCGAGTAGGAGAAGACGGAATCCAATTCCGAGTCCGAATGCATGGATACAAGCCCGGAAACCTCAGCTATGTCACAGAAATCATTCACCGCGGCCCGCGACATTGTTCCCGCGGCCGCGGTGAACAAACCGCACAAGACGCCCAGTTTTCTTCACCGCGGCCGCGGAGGAGGAAGTCGCGGCCGCGAAGAGGGCTGCTTTTCAAACCCGATGTACAGAGGCCAAAAGTCGCGGCCGCGGGATGAAGTCGCGGCCGCGGACCTTCCCTTCACCGCGGCCGCGGGACATGTCGCGGCCGCGGAGTGCGCGTTTCCAGCAGTTTAAAGTAGCAGTTTTCTTTTATTTTGGGGATCGTTTTTTTGAACGCTACGTTTGGAATTTTCTCAGTACTTGTCTCGAAAAACTCATACTTTTCCTCAGATTTGATCTTGTGATTCAATCTTGGAGAGAAAAACTCCGAGATTCGACTTGTGGATTCGG